CCGCCCAGACTGAGAGGCATCAGTCCTCTGTCTTCTTTGTTTGGACAGACAATGAGTATCCCTTGAGTTCTACAGGGGAGCAGCCAACACCTTCCCACTAGGATGCTGCTGGTAAGGAGTGGTCAGGATTCAGGCCATCGTATGGGACATAAGACGAGATTTCCCAAAAAGAAAAGCCACTGCTTCCCATAGCCACATGCTGCTTGATGCCCCCAGCCAGGGGCTGCAGTCTCAGCTACAGTTCATGACTTTCATTATTTCGGTCTTCAAATAGAATTTGATGTTGTCTGAATAAAGGGGGGGCTCAGTGGTGAATAAAGTACAGCCCTCAGTGGTGCTCTCTGCTAGCTACCTGCATCTGTGATGCTGAGCAGAGATTACAGAATTAACTTTATTCCTCCATTCAGTGAAACCAAATTGGATTTGAAGCCCCTCTCCTGCCTTCTCTGGCCAGCATCAATGTAATTAAAACCTCATTTTCTCCTGCAGCTTTTCTTAAGTTCAATTCGACTGACTGAAAAGGCAGAAAAAAACAGGCTCTGACGGACCAGGGCTGGAGTCGGCTGGCAGAGCTCATCATGAGTTACCAGAGCAGCATCAGCACAATGGCATCAGAGCAAGGACCCTGCCATGGGGCTGAGAGGAACCATAACAGTATCTTTGCTTTCCCGCGCAGGCTTCTCAAACACAGGTGCTTGAAACCTGCATCTAAGAAAGCCCCAGGACAGCTGCTGCAGGGGTGTCAAAGGCAGAGTGGCTCTCAGGTTGGGAAGAGACTCTTCTCATACTGGCAGGAGCCTCGTCAGTTTGCTGTGGGATATAACATAAGAAACGAAGTTTTGCGACAGCACAGCCCTTACAAAGGTAACTCTAAAAAATGCATTTTCTCTTCATCTGATGTGCAGAAACTCACCTGCACTTTGTTTCCCCCTTTTTGAAAACACAGGGTCTCACCGTTTGGCTCCTCGGTGCTCCTGTGGTACTTGGCACGGGGGCAGTTTGGACCCTCAGGGCAGTGGTAGCTCCGCTGGCGTGTCTCTGATGCAGGAGGAGTGACCACGGGTGGGATGTCCCGGGGAGGGGTGAGCTGGCAGCCCAGGTATGGTGAGGTGACAGGACTTGCCTCCAGGGCAGGGCAAGGACAACAGTCCCAATTCCAGCCCAGCAAGTGCCTCATCCCAAGGACCAGCGTGTCCCTGGCTGTGTGCTGGTGGAGAACCACAAGCTCTGCCCCAGGCACAGAGGACAACATAGTTGCTTGGTTTTAAGAGATTTCATTTCAGCTGGCAGAGACCGAGAAGCCAGTCCCTTCCCTCTTTTCTCTTCCATGCCTCACACGAGACGGAGGAACTCTGCCCTTGCTCTGCAGCTGGGATTTCCCCTCCCCTCACGGAGACCCCAAAGCCTCTGGGATGTGTCACATCCCCAAGAGATGCTTGGATGTGACCCCCCCGGCTGCTTTCTAGGGACTTGCCATCAGCTCTTACACCACGCACCTTGTTTCACTGCCCTGCAGCTCACCACGAGCCCTCAATTTTGCTTTCCTCACCCCGTTCAGATGCCTGTCCCTGAACACACAAACCCTGCTGGGGAGCTCCCCATGGCACATCAAAGGTGGTTCCATGTCCTTTGCCAGGTACCTCTGGGTTTTCAGATGGCAATGCTTAGCTCCCCCTCTCAAAGCCCCAGAAAGACAACCCAAGAGCTGGGAAGAGGCATAAGGAACTGCAGGAGGATGAGGAGGAAAGCTGGGAAGGTGCCTGGCAGATCTTCCTATGCTTATATTCAGGATGAGGAGGTGGAGGCCAATCCCAGGCAGTAGTTGTCTTGCTTTAGCCGGACACAATGTTTATGCAACAGACTGAAGGCATTTTAATTATCCAGTTAGCAGTCTGTAACCTTTGAGAGACTCCCTGGCAATGTTGTTGGGCATCCAAAGGCATTAGGAGGGTTTTGGCTGGGCACTAGCTCACCAGCTGCCTGCCTGGAGCTATGGAAAGGGCGCACAGGGAGGGGACAAGGGCTGACAGCGCTGGAGGGTATGATTCAGACAATGGGGTTTTGTCATCTCCTGTATTTGAAGGAAAGAGCAGGTCATCACCGTGTGCTTACGTAGCAGTTTTCATCCTCCCCATTTACAGACTCTTAGGATGGGGAAACACTGCTCTGCTTTCCAGGCCTGGTCAGCACGATTCTGGCATTAAATGATAATCTCTGGTACTCACCTGTGCTGTGTTTGTTAGAGATCCTCTGGACCACAGCTCCAGGAGAAGCAAAGGACAGTGCCACTTCCTGAAACCTCTGCCCAGCTTCAGCACAAGCAGAGGAGAATCTCCAGAGGTGGGATTCGGGCACAGCCCACCCAGCATTAACACCTCTGGGCATGGGGAAAGCAGCACAGTGCTCTCATGACCACAGGAAAGCAGCATTTGGAAAACGAGCAGAGCTTTCTTTCCTAGATAATGTGTCTCAGGAAAGAGAAGTCATCTCCGCATTAATCCATTAATAAGCAGCAGCAGCAGCGAGAGCTCGCGCCGGTGGCATCTCTAAGTTAAGTGCAGTGGATCGTGCAGATTTTGACTAATGGGCCACATTAATTCCCAAACCATCTCAGCCCAGCTGAATGGCTCTGGTGGAAGGGAAGGATTTAAGACAATTGCTGTCCCCATCCTTCAGAAGCAGCATATTTACTGTTGTTACTGCACACCAGGGAATACTTTAAAATGCTCAAAATCTATCAGCCAGATTTTAACCTCCTTTAGCAGGAAGTGGTGCTCATATGCATGGAGGGATGGAGAGGACCTCGCTGTCACCTCAGATGCTGCCACCCCAGATGCTGCCACCCCCTCACCGTCACCTCTAAACACAGTGAATGCAACATGCAGCATCTGTCTCGCCTGAGACCAGCCTCGGCCCAGGGACCAAATCATCATGTCAGACATAACTGCAGCCCTTTCTGAGTGGCCAGACCACGCAGCGTGGTGCTGGGGACGTGCCCTTGGCAGCGAGAGGAAGGCTGGCAGCATGCTCTGCAGCAAACCTCCCCTTCTGTGCCAACCTCTGCTCCCACAGCTGCCAGCACAGCTCAAGGTGCACAAGATATGAGCCTGCTGTAGGACTGGGAACAGCGCAGAGCATTGGTGGTACTCAGAGATGTAATGGATGCCCAGGGAGAACAAGCAACGGCACTTCTCTTCAGAGGTACCATCTGATCTCTCTGCTCAGCTTCCCAGGAACTCCAGGGATCTCTGCCACCGCCATCCCACCAAAGGACCTGAACTTCTGTCCCTCACCCTCCCAGTGCAGCACATGGCCTGCGACAGGAAGGGAGCACAGGGGACTGACCGCAGGGCATCCGCAGGGTAGCTCAGGCAGCTGGGAGGCAACAAGAGACAGGAAGAGAGTTCCCCCAGGCCCACATCTGCTTTGGAGGGCCTGCAGCTTGTGGAAAGGCAGCACCTCCCCTGTCCTCCAGCACCATGACCCCCAAACCTCCTGACCAGCTCGGCTTGGCACCAGGGGGCAGTGGTTGTTACTTCCCTGGAACACACTGGCACTTACCCATGGTCTCTATGGGCTCAAGGTACTTACATGGAAGTCACTATTTCTTAAATGTCGAAGTAGTACAACAGTGGTGCTCTGGATGTAACCCGAATTCTTTGCAATGGGCTTGCCAGGCAGAAAGATAGTAAAGAAATGAGAATTATTGCTCCTCCCCATGCCCAAAACCACACAGGCACACAAAAAACAACCCCAGGTCTCCAAGAGCTCATACCAGAACTCCCCTAAAGTCATTTCTCCACCACTCAGCCTGCCCACAACACGCTGATGGCTGGAATAAAGGCTGGAAAGGCTTTCCATAACTAATATGGAAAAACCTTGCTGTCTAATGAAATCTTTATACTCCAGCAGACAACTGTTACAGCACTGGAGGTTTTTTTCTTCTGAACAGCATAAACATATTTTCTCTACAGCGTTTCAAACATCCCTGTCTGGTTTGCTGATGCCAGGCACACACTGTTGCCGTGATTTCACACAGTGGGAGCTGTACCATGTCTCAGATGACTGGTAAGAAGGACATCAAGTGCAAGTAAGAGAAATTTTCAGCAGTTGAAGTTAAGAGTGTATTTTTCTTTCTTTCTTATTTAATACCACAAACCTTGCTGTTAATTTTCCTAAGTTCACAAAACCAACTAATCAGGCAAGTGTATTTGCATACTTGTACTTCCCAGACAGTTGTCTTTTCCATGTCCTATGGTAATAAAAATTGCAGTTTATTTATGACTGCATTATTTTTCCTTTTTAATACAAGAATTTAAAGTTTTCCTTTGCCATCTGTCTTGTGTTCTCACTGACACCCCATACATCAAGAATATATGTGAAAATCAAGAGCTTTCTCTTAATGATTTTAGATGAGTGCAGAATTCCATGACAGTGCAATCCCTCCAGGTATGAACCCCCAGCCTTCGGGACCTCTTTCCCACAGCCTTATAACCTATTTTCGAGACGTTAACCTCTACAAAGTGCTTCTAAGATGTTCTGGTATAAAAGGATACTGTTTTGACTTAGCAGCCCTTTATACTGCAGTAGGAGTCGCCACAATAGCAGGTATGTGCACAGGGATCAGACAGAAGGTCATTTGACAGACGGGTATCTAAGCATTTCCACCCAGGCGAGAAGCCACAGCAGGGCCAGGGAAATTGCTCCTGGGAGAGAGTTACCAAAACGATTTTGTTCTGTCCTATGGCACTGAAATAGAGAATTTAGATTTCTGGCTCACGTGAAGGCTGCTTTGCTGAAGATGCTAAGGGAGGAGATTAGCAGAGAGATCTCCTTTCACCAGTTTCCCAGAGGTGATGTGGTAGGAACACGTTACTAGAAGCAGAAAAAATCCTGTGGGTTGTGTCTTAACTTACGCTTTGTCCACCTGACACGACAGCATCATTCAATGAGCAGAGACTACGAGGACACAAATAGTGCTGTAAAAACACAGACGAGTATTTCAGTTGTAAAATCATTTTTTTATTGTTACAAATATACATATGAATAAAATCCCTTCAACCTGTAATGTAAGTGGGTAGCTGTGAAATCTGCACCCCCTCCCTCAAAAGCTGAAATGTTTTTACAGATGTCAAACTATTTTTCTTGTAGAATTACACATTGAAAGGAAGCTAATATGCAGACAGAACTGAGGAAGGCCTCTAGAAAACACCAATATTAATAAAATTTCAATTGCCCTCATTCCAACCAACTATATACATTAATATATGAATGTGGAAGCATACCATGATTATACGTCATCCAAATCCTTCTCTGTTGTGCTTTTTGACAGTACACATATGTAAGCGTTGGAGCTTTATGTACAGTACGAGAACAGGAAGAAAGAAGCTCCCTATGGGAGAATGTAAAAACCATACCCAAGCATTTAATATATATAATCTATACAAATTATTTTATTAGTGTGCTCTTTTAATATAATTACAATGTGCAATTGCATACCGCAAGAATATATTTATAGGTAAGTCACGTGCAGATTTGACACATTTACATTCAGCAGTACAACACATTACCTGCTGTACAGTGTATTAGTGTAAGACAGTGTCCAGTTAATTTGCTTTGCTTTCTAAATGCCCTAATGCAGGGCACTCTTGGTAGCTGCTTCAGAGAAATTCAAGTAGAATACATGAAAGAATCGCTGGCTTTAGCAAAGGCATGGAAAGGAACGTCTGTGTTGTACAGAACAGAAATTAAGGACCAAATCAATGTCAAGTGAGTGCACTGTAAATCACAATTGGAAGATCAGGTTTTCTGCATGGAAATGTACCTGTGGTGAAAGAGCAGCTGGCTAGAAGGGCTGTTGATTGCTGTACCCTGATTGTTATAAAAAGCTCTTGCACTACGAAGCACTTGTACTGATTGCTAAACAAAAATAAAATCTTTATCTGCTTCTTCTCCAGAGTCACTGGACTTGCTTCCCTGATGGCCGTCTTTACTTAAGGATCTCTGGAACTCATGAGGCTGCTGCCCAGGGCTTCTTTTTGCAGCTGTATAAAGCAGAAATAGATCTTACTCATCATTGCAGAAAAGAGAAGACGACAAATAATAAACAGTCGTTCACGCACACAGGACCTGCTCCTGTTCCCACTGACTTCACTTGCACTAGTGGGAGTAGCACAGGTCTATTAATCTTCAACTCAGATAAAGGCGAGAGAGAAGAGAGAGTGAGCAAACTTTATTCCAGTGTTGGTTGGCAAGCAGGGAAACTTGAAATAATGAATCTCAGTATGTCACCACGACATGGATAAACATTACAGTTAGAAACAGCCTGGAGACATTCTTCTCATCACACCACTTCAAATCCACAACAGAATTCTCTTTTCCCCAATGGGCTGGATCTCATGCAACGTACTCCCAGCTGCTTAGGTGGACATCCTTGCTGGCCACCCATCAGACGAGCAGTACATTCCCTGGCAGGCCTGTCTACCTAGCAGGACACATATTCTGAGTCCCTTTCGACTCAACAGCCTTCATCAGGACAGACATGCACCCTGGCATCCACATTACTTGAAGTACTGCTCCCTGCCCTCCCTGTTCTGACAGGGAAGGGAAAGCACCCATGGCTCTGAGCCCAACCTGCACCTCTTTCAGCTGAGACCATGGGCTCTGCACCTTGCTGTGCCTGGCAGTGGAGAAAACAGGAGGACATACCCACTTTCCATGATCTAAATGCAAACAGCACCCATTTTGTTCATCCAGCATTCTTAATATCTCTGTAAGGCCAGGGTTTTCCCCAAACCTATATGCTTTGAAATGAATTCGAAAGAAGGTTGGGAAACCTTGTTAAGATTTCTGATTGAATCAGTGATCTACAATTGCTGTAGTAACAAGAGTTATTATGCACATCAAGGAGGGTGACTTTACACAAGGATTGACAGCTTTAGGAATCTCATTCTTCCAATTAAAATGAACCTTTAAACACACTTAAGTGTGTTAAATGTGACATTTAACATCACAAGTTGTCTCTTCATGCCCACAAAAAAATAACGTTAAAATTACAAGACCTTCTTTGCTCCACCATTTCAGATAAGGACGCCTGGCTTTGGTTCACACTGATCCTTGTGCCTGTTCCCATTTGTGCACACCTTGCTTAACAAGGCACCAGCAGTCGGACTGGCCAGGAAGCACCACCTCTCCTTCCTGTGTACTGCTCACCTATAGCTTCACCACTGCAAGGGACAGCCTGCCTGTCACCAGCATGCAGCTCCAGCCACAGCAGGGGCAGGGAAGCAGCAGGCTGTCACTGATGCATCTCCATGACCATTCCAAATTGTGCCAGGCTGTGTTAGGGTCTGCCAGGAATACGGAAAATGCAAAGAGGAATCCCAAGGGAGCCAATGCTGCTGGGGCAGCCTTAGCAGGGATGCTCCCTGTATCTGTAGGGATAAGTTCTTATCCTGGCTTTGCAAGTTGGGAAAGAGGAAAGGATTTTTAAAAATAGTTTTTAAAGCTATTTAATAGAATTGGAGAGGACCAAGATACCTAAATCCTGTAAAACCCCACCATTTGGGCATTTCCACCTTCCCAAACACCACTGCTTTTCAAAGAAATAGGGGCCTGGAAATTTTTAAATAATTTTTGCTAGTTGTACCTCCTAGTAATTACATGGCCTTTGTCTGGCCTCCATTCACTCTTCAAACAAAACCCAGAACACATCCTGCAGCAGCTATTTTAGTTTATGACCTGATAAATTAAGACAGGTAGTTTGCCCCCAAATTGCCTGAAAATTGTATCATCAAGCATTGAAGTTCACATACTGCAAAGCAGGCTTCTGCCACAAGAGCTTACCTAGGAAATAAGTTTATACATTTTGGGCTGAGGATGTTACAAAAGGGACACATTATGTCTTATAAGTAGAAAAACTGAGGGTAAATATAATTGCATGAGATGCCAAATCCCTCATTAAAATACTTCATAAAAAAGTAATTTTGAATCATTGTTTAAACAAACCAGTTAAGGAGTAAAAAGAAGTCTGTAAACATGTACCAGGTGAGAACAAGAGCTTCTATGTTTTAAGAACACGTACATCAACCATTTTTTTTGCCTACTGAATGAATTCACTGTAAGTCAAAGCTGCTTTTCAGGAAGCACAGCTTAAACTTGCAGCACAGTGCTGGATTTGGGTTCTTTTGGTGGTTTTTTGTTTGTTTATGAAGCTGAAAATCAAAGTACTATGTCAAAATAACCTGATTAACTCAGTTTTGTGAGTGATGGGCTGAAACTGGCACTAACAATATTCACGCTGAAATGTATTTTGAAATACTTCGGTGCACGCATCTTAAAAAGGAAAGGTAGGGAAGCACACAAAGCAGTGGACAGTCTACCTGCAGTGTGCTTACATGTCAGCATCCCTGCAACGAGCAAACACGGTTTGTACTAAGCCCTCTTCTGTAGAAGGGCTGCAGGTGCTACATGGTACTGGTCATCGATGTTGTCATGAAAGAAAAATAATAGAATCACAGAATGGTTTGGGCTGGTAGGTACCTTAAAGACTATCCAGTTCCAACCTTCCTGCCACAGCCAGGGACACCTTCCAGTAGACCAGGTTGCTCAAAGCCCCATCCAAACTGGACATTCACACACATTTCTTCTCTGGAAATTTGTTCATGCCAAGTAGGTCACATGGGGACAGACAGATAATTAGCATCCCATGAGATTTCTACCTTTCTCATACTCCACTGACAAACCCACACCTTTCTGTGGCTTCTTTGCTACTACAATTGTTAGCGCCAGTTATCAAGCACTGTCTTGATGAAAAACGAAAACTTCTAACCAGAAGTTGGCTGTGCTTTCCTCTGCCCAAGCACATTAGCTTCCTCTTCTGCACTGGTAAAACACTGCCCCGAAGTGGTTTTCATGCTGCCAGATGGCTTGGCACAGTCAGGAACTGTATCTCTTTTTTGACAATCTCCTGTTTGCTCTAGCAGGGAAACGGATTCATTTATATCCCTAAGCTGTTCCATAGGCCCACACACAGAAAGTAATATAAATAATTTCACTTATCCATCCCATTTAATCAATTGTTCAGAGTAGTAATCAATATGCCAGATGCTTGCTTAAATGTAGTCCAGATATTTATGTACGTTAGTAACTGCAGCCCAATCTTACAGGTACACTGTATAAAGAGGTGTATTCCAAGACTGTCCCAAAGTGATTTTATAATCAACTATCATCTAATTTGCAGGAGATACAATTTTGCGTACTTATTGGACAGATTTGCAGTGATTTACCAGTTGCAGAAATAAATCGAGCATGCTAACCTGAAGGATGGCAGAAAGCAAGGACAGAGGAATGACTGAGTGAGGGAGAAGAACAGTAATAAAGAAAAAGGAAAACCACAAAAAGAATTAAAAAACTTAAACCAATTTACTCTTCCCAGAATTCTAGTTGTGTAGTACCAAGTTCTCTCTCGCAGTCTGGTGAAAAGCTGATGAGAAAACAAAGACTCCAGCAAATTCAGTTATCAGACAGCAGCTCAGAGAGTCTGTCGTGGCAAGAGCCTTTGCAACAATTCTCAATGTGATGGCACTAGTGTAGCAAATCTGATGCCTAAGCCATAGCCCAGTTCATCTGTCTCAACACAGGCTCTGATGTGACTAAATGCAGGAGAATAAACAGGCTTTATTCTGCCTTGCAGCCCTCATAATGCCACAGGCACTGGGAGGCACTTCAGACACCTTGCTGTCTTTTTCCAGACCTTGAGACACAGACTGCAGCAGCTTTTGACAACATGGACCATCTGAACCCTCAGCCCTTTCAGACACAGGGGAGGTCCTTGGGAGTGTTGCGTCCTGCTAGTTTTATGTAATTTAGTGAGATTGTGGTGGTTCTGCTGGGCTACCATTATGGCACAAGAGTAGCCCAACGGCATCATATAGGTGGCCTGAAGTGAGAGTCAAAACTTGCTAATATCCCACATGTGCTGACATGTAAATCACAGCCACACAACAGCAATTTTCAAAGCAGAGCAACACCCAGACTATGAGTTAAGCTGTTTCATAAAGGCCAAGGTACTTTCAGGACAGAAATGGGGAAGCTGCTCAAAATATACCTCTGGACCATTCTGCTTTAGAGATGGCTTTGCCCCTTCTCTCGTCCAGAGGGTAACAGTGGGCTCTGTGGGCAGCACAACCGCTCGGTCTTCACAGCCCAGTGTTAGGTATCTGCCTTGACTTGTCTGCCCCGATCCCATGCCATGAAAAACTGCTGGCAGAGTGTGAAAGGGCACCTCTTTGTCTCACAGCTTAAGTGATGGGAATTGCCTTAGATTTGTGAGGGGAGTCCCAGGAAGGAAGATTTCACCCCCAGATTTCAAATGTTGTTATTTGTGCCAGCTAACACCACACTGAGAAACATTTCTGCGATGACTTGTTCACGTATCCCATGCTATCAGAGGAAGCCTTAGCAATTCTAAGAGGCCACTGTGGGCAAGGAAATGCATCAGCAAAAGCAGCAGTCCAGCGCACACATGAAAATCAGCAGAGACAAGGCAGCAGCAGTCTACTGTCGTGTGTAAAAGGCACGAAGCCCTGCCCTGGCACACAGATACTCATTGTCTGAGGAGGTGAATTCAGTCACATGCAGCGACCCCGCAGAAAGGAAGAGAACAAACAGAGCAAGAGGCTGACTGCAAGAAACAATGTCGTGACTGCTCCCCTGGAAATGTGCTGAACCACAGAGCTGCATTCCACATTACTGTGTGTGACCAATACCAGTCAGCATCTCAATTCAGACCAAACTAAACCATAATATACACACAAGTCCCTTAATTGCTCAGCTACATTATTAATACCAAGGGATTCATCTTTCACTTGGTTTGATCAAAGGAAGAAAATACAGAGCACCAACCCATGGGTCGAGGTAAGCAACAGATAATTAGATACACTTTCCTTGCTCTTTCTTTCTCCAAATGAACAACCCTCTTCCAATCCAAGTGAAAACAGATCAAGGGACAATGACATATCAAATTCTAGTAGCTGGAGCAATAGTTACACCAACACTCTTACCTTCTTGAGAAAACGATCTGACAGAGGGGCTGCTCTGACCATCCTTTTCTTTATCAGAAGGAACTTTCTTCAGCACTGGTGGAAGCAGGGCAACTTTGGGGGAACTGGGGCCAGAGGGAGACTCTGGAGCATCCTCTGTGGAGTACCATGAACAAAAGGGTAAGAAGTTACATTTGTGCTGTAGCTCACAGAAATGGTGCTGTTATAATGGGCCAAACCACACCACAATACAAAACCAAGAAACAGCTAAAATCTGTGTCAGAAAAAGGAGGATTCTACATTAGGAGGAATCTAGGAGGAATTTACATTATGTCAAGAAAGCACATGATGGCCCTCGGTCCAGAATTTTAATAGCCAAAACAAAGATCTCAATTTCAGCAGTTTTAGTGTGCACTGCTATTGCAGCACAAATAGAAATCCAATGGGACCAACTGAATTTCCTGCAAGACATAAGTATGCAATTTGTAAAGAACAGCTGAAAATTATTTTGGATGGGTTTTTGGAAATATTTATTCTATATATATTTTCATTGTCCTGAAACATAATGAACCGATCAATTTAAATGTACTGTTTCACAGTTATAAGGCATAAAATTGAACCAGGGAAACAAATTTCATCAATAGCCTACAGAGCTCTTTACTTCCAGGAATAAATTGCCAGCACATAACATGATAGCATCTGCAAAGACTTTCTAAATAGAAAAAAATAGTTTGCCTTCTAGACTGTGAGGAAACATGGAACTTAAATTCTTATCCATAGTTTAAGTCATCTGGATATCTTGTTTCTCTAAAAGGCTGGATATGCATTATGTATGGCAAGTTGACTACCATCTTTACAGTCCTTACAGGAAGATCTTTTCAGTCTTATACTAGACAGCCATCATTTGGACAGCAGGGAAGTGCAGTTACAATGGATTACTTAAACTACTTGTATGTTTGCTTCCCAAGGAGTAAATAGTGACATATGTACACAAGAGAGGAACTAGGAAGATACATTAGTGCTGACAGAAGGAAAAAGGACTCAAGAGTATCACCTTTATTGCATATTTGTACAATGAATTCATTAGTTGCATACTGGAAATTAATAGGAATTAATCTCACTGTTGAGGAGCCACCACAGAGAAGACAATCTTGTTTACCTTCAGCACAAGAAAGTGAAGATCTTCCAAATGCAACTTGAGCAGAACAGATACACCACTTGTTGGACCTGCTCCACGCTTTTGATGTGCGTGTGAGGCCAGTTGCTTTGGGAAACTCGGTATCAACATATGGATGAGCTCAGTGCTTGGCAAACACAGCCATGTATTTCTGAACAAAAGCTGTAATGTGCTTTACTGAGGCACCACTTTCAGTCTCTGATAATTTGTGGACCTCTGTGCTGTGTTCCTTGGCCCTCAGATGACTTAGCAAAAACCTGCCACTATAGTTTGGCCACACCACTGCAAACAACAGCAGAAGCAAGAGCGTAAATAGCATTATTGCTTGGCATCTTCATCACATCACCTGGGCATGCTTAACCAGCAGGTTGTTATAGGTACAAGAATAGAAGTTAGACTGCATCAGAGATGGTGCTGCTTTTTCCGCCACCTGAGGAGCTGGCCTATTATGAGTAAATATTAATTACTCTTTGTGTTAAACTCACAGTATGCTCTCTCTGCAGGAAATAGGAGCTGGCAGAAACAGATAGCTTAGGTCTTTCTGGTATCTGAGATAACACACTGGCTATGTTACAGATTAAACATCACCATATAAGCTCTGCTTTCCTATTGTATTAATCTTCATGAGCGTCTTACCCAACACCTCTCACTTTTATATCCATTTCTAAAATGATCAATAAAACAAATATAAAGTAACCTAAAATCTGAAGGTGATTCTGTATTTGAACAACATTCTACCCACTGTAATGCAGAGACTAAGTAATGCTCAGGTTACACATCAAGGGCAGGGAGGAGGCTGTAATATCCCTCTGCCCCCTCATCCTCACCAGAAATGACATCTTTCTAAGGTCAACGGTGAGTATGGGAAAAGTCTAGAGGTCTACAAGCTCTTACAGATGGCTATGCTCAGATTTTTCAGTCATTAGCAATTAATAAGCTATATTTGCTATAGCTACTGTGGGAGTCAGTAACTAGCATCTAATTCCCCGCAACTGAAGTGGCTGTGCTCTGGGAAGAAGAGGTTGTGACACTGGCCTATTAAAAGTAGGGGAGATCTACTGGAAACCTGGAGATAATAACTGGGCAGGAAGTTAGGGTAGAACAGAAGTTAACACACATTCAACTGGCAGTCTTGCCGGGTTATAAAAGCACAGTTACAATTATTTCCAGTCAAAAGCAATAAGGAAAGAAACAAAGGCAAAACAAGTTAAAAGAGTGAGAGACAGTTGTTTTGTTCAAGTTACTAAGAACAGCAGGAATTTGCTTAAGGACCTAAGAGAAGATTGCCAGAAAACCCCAAGAACTTTGGTACTTAGAGCAAGGTGTTAGGGAAAATAGTTACTTTTGTCAGTGCTACTACATCAGGACTTTGATGCTGAAGCAGCTTTCTATGACCACCTCTTCCATGAAAGCAGGCTTACTCAAAACAGCTGTCGCTGCTGCTATTGCTTCTCCTTATGCTTTACTATTACAGATCACAGATTAAATCATTTTAGTAGGTTTATCTGAATTAGGGCACAGGGAGGTGGGAAAGAAGGATGCTAGTCAAGAGCAAGTGACTGAAGAACCTGTCCCTCTATGTTTAACTTCTGTTCAACAAGTGGCCATTGGTGTTTCCTCCACAACCCACACAAACACTACTCAGAAGTACCCAGCTGGGGATAATGAATGCCCAGAAGAGCTCCTCACCGGTACGAGAGGCAGAGCGTGGTTTCTGTGGCACTGTGGGTCGTGCTGCCAGGCTGGGCTTTGTTGCCTGCAGTGGGGGTTTTGGGCTGGTTGGTGTATTGGAAGAACTTCTTGCCTTTGCACCAGCTTCTGCCTTTGGTTCAGCTTTTGAATTCTTTTCGGATGATGCCGAGATGGAGTCACCTTTATTCGAGGCAAACCGACTCTCTGGAAGGGTCTGCTGGAGTTTAGGCACTAAAATAAATAGACACATAAAATAAGGTCTCCTGCAACACAGAAGGCTCCATACAGAGATATGCTTGTGTGGAATATACCATCATTAGCCCACAGATCACGGCTGCACCGCGGTGTGTGTAAGAGGACCCCTAACATTTAATTCAAAATCACTGCAAGAAAAGCATCTAAACCTGCTAGTTCTTTTATGTGCTAGGATTCATAATGATGGCATCTCCCCCTTTTTAATGTACTTGGAGTAATGGCTGGCTGGATCTTATTCTTCCTTCATATTTCTAAGAGCAGATGGTACAGCCTACCTGCTGAGAAAGCAGGATCAGTGGAAAAGGCAGTCTTTGGCTTTTTTGTGCCTCTACACACAAAAGGCTGGCTATCCAAGATCAACAGAGAAATCCTGGCCCAGAAAATAAATCCCAAATGTGTGATCAGCAGGCTACAGCTTTTTATTTGTTGCTTTTAGCAAGCTCTGGAGGAGGTTTTGAAACTTCGCTGAGATCAAAGTATTCACTGTAGAATGTTTTGATTTATCTAGTAACGCTGTCTATGGATTATGGTTTCCACACATTAGCAAATTTATCAACATATTATTTACCCCAACCAAAGGCTAAAGTATTTACAGATAAAGCTACACTGACTTGCAGGCAATAAATCAGTCCTATCTAGCTGTGCAAGCTGGTAGAAAGCCTGCTGGACTCTAGGTTGCAAACAAGCAAAATGCCTGCCCTACTTTCCTACACTGCATCTCTCAGAAGGTTGAAGGCTCGTACGTAGAAGATATAATGATTATCTTGGCACCTGTATGTTAGCTTGGGACTTTTGAAGATAGATTGTCACATCTTTATCCTCAGAAGAGAACTACAGACTGAAATGTAGACTGGTAGCCTTGGTACATGGCAAAGATGCTGACCTGACCTACCTACCTGCTATTGCCATTCAGAAATCCTACTTGTTATGAAAGTGCTGAGCACAGACATTATAAGGGCAGTGGGAGGGAAGGGAGTGTTGATACAGCTTGTTGCAAGCCAATCTCCACTACCTTCTTTCAGCTTATGTAGCTGTTTTTCAGCCCAGCTGGAGTTAAAGTCTGGCAAACTACAGAGAGTTGTGTGGCACACACGTATTTTTGTGAGTCTTCACGCATGCAGTAGACTTTCATGCGGCAAGCAAAACAGCAGGACACCTTCTCCACTTGTGTGTGCACTTGCATGCAAAAAAAGCAGGCAACATCCAGACATGAAGCAAGGAATAAAAACCCCCATATTCTCCTTCTGCATCACCAGCTACAGTTTTCCTGTAGCAACATCCAGCAATTCTTCATTAACTGTCTCTCTTGCCTTCCTAACCTCAGGCCTGCTAATATTATTAGAACCCAGTAAGTTAAAATAAATTAATCCAAAACAAAGACAAACTGTAGTTGCAGCAGTGAAGAGCAGCCCCGGGGAGCTCTTAAGCAAGAGTGGTAAAAAATGAGCTGACAGCTGGAGGCCAAAAGGAAGGGGCATGCACAATGCAGTGAGGTGTGGGTGAAATGTGCCATATAGAGACAAGGACCAGAGAAAAACTGGGGTCAGACACCCACAGCTACTTTAATGCCCCAAGCACAGACTATTCTTGCTCCTCTGACTTCAGTTTCATAGGATTAAGAGACACATATAATACACAAGGTACTCCTCAAAAGATAAGCAGGCTTTAAAAGTGCTAATTTATAGTTTAGCATGCTCTGAATATGCTGTCTCTTAAAACTAGCTTTTGAAAGGTATGAAACTCCAAAAAAGACTTCTGAAATGCTCAACCTAGATGGCCCCATTTGGATTTTAATTCTAGCCTGTTTTTTTGAGCCTCACTTCTGTCTGTTTTGGCAGCCCTCTGTGCCGTGCTTGCAGGATACCTACCACTAGAAAATCAGACCTGGATTTCCTAGTTCAGCCCCCTCCTTTCAGTCCAGTCAATGTGGTATGCACAAACCACCAGAGCTCAATCCCTTCTGAATGCTTCACTGGCCAGTTCCAGAAGCATGCACAGAGACCAGAATTTCATCTTGTCCTGAGATGCAGGTGCTGCCATGGCAGGGTCCAGGACTATAGCTGCAAAAGGGCATAGCAGGACTACGTGCAGATGGAACTGGTGCTTTAAGCACTGCAAGGCTATACCTCCATTTTGTACACAATAGAGACACACATTCTGTGCACGTGTGCGGTGTCCAGCGGCCTCCACAGCTTTACAGACAGCCCTGGCTTTGGCCAAGCCAGGTAAACCCTTGGAAGAGCCAGCTGCCATTGCCTAGGACATGTCTAGTCTAGCAGCTGAAAGCTGGTATGTGCACAGATGACTATAAATCTTGCAAACTGGTCATATTTAGGTCATCAGATATATTGAGGAGTTTCACGTCTTTGTGCACAGACATTTTTGCTGACTCCTGGGTTCAGCTTCAGCTTTGCTGATCCCATTACAAGTTGGCATCCTTTTGAAGGTCCCCCAGGCACATGCACCACGTACTTTCCTTCCTGTGCAGTGTGGAACACCAGTAAAAGCTGAGCTGTCAACTCAGCCCTAGAGCTGACTTCACAGTAAGTGCTGCCCAACACAGTACAAAAAGTGAGCTTGTTTCTAATCCTTTTCACATAGCGTAAGCTCGTATTTCACTTAAGCAATTGTAGGCACACAATCTGGAGAGGGAAGTGAGAGTTCTGAGGTTAGGCATTTTGTATTATACCAGGAAACTCAGACTGTACCTGTACCACTTCCATCCAGTCGTTCTGAGCTCATTGCTGTGTCAAAAGACTCTCTGGGAGTTGTGTCATTTCCAAGTTTCTGAAAGAGAAAAGCTCTCATATTAATAATATATCTGTAATTAATACAACTCAGTGGTTTTGTTAGGGTAAAAAAGCTCTCATTTGGAGCCATAAGGCAGAGAAAGCAGTGATAGTAATAAATGGTGGATTCTCCTTGTTTCTACTGGAGGTCTTGGAGATCTAAGCAGGAAGAAAACTGCTGCTATAGAAGTAGCAGCACTCATATATTTACACAATAGACCTTACTTACTGAAAGGACTTTAAAGCTACCCATCACAAACCCTGCTGGATGCTCAGCACCTCTAAAGAAAGGGGTCTTCCTTGTTCATGTGCTGATATTCTGGCTAAGCCTTCTATTCTCAAGAACAGCTTTCTTAACATCCTGGCCTCAAAAGAAAAGGTGCAAAGACTAGCTCTAGCCTAAGTAAGCTTGAAACCTGAGTGCTCACCAGGAGAAGCTTAGATATGCAGCTCATGGGCTTGTAAAAGAACCAGCCTCCTTTTAGTGTCTTACCTGCAGGAACATTACGCTTTGTACCACTGAGTGAAAATTCATTTTTTTATTCAAATTTCTTGTCATTGATATTTTGCCTAAATTCTCACCTCTCCATCTCCACCTACAGTAAAATGTTTCTTTGTAAGACTGTCATGACTATATATTTTTGAAGTGAATAGCATTCTCTGCTTACTGGATTTTTCTTCCATACCTTGGTAAAGAAGCTTTTGGGAACTTAATTCACAACAGTTTCTTTATGCCTGTTACCAAACACTCACTTTTCTATGTAAATATTGAAGATACATGCATAACATTTAGTTACAATACATGACTTGAGAGCTGTGTGACAATATGAAAACTAATTTCACTATAACTCTTGACTCCATCCCTAGTTATGGAACTACTGAGGAAATCAGACCATGTACAGAGACAAGTACAAAAGCCAGTGCTCACGTCTGTTAGTGGAGTACTTAAAAATGCAATTAGGATGTTATCATGTTTGGCTACCTACTGTACACACATTACAAACTGCTTCTATCCTGAGACCACACTAAACTCTTGCTACAAAAATTCAGTACGAGAAGTTGTCAATCATGTCAGATAAATGCAGGTGAATTTATTATGTAGATAAATAACGAGCAGGCTCTACTTTTAACAGGAATTCATGCAAGGTTAGGAGTTGGGTGCCATCGAGAGTGAATAAAGAGGTTACAGATGACGGTCTGCTCATAGGTCTTGCTCGAGGTATTTAAAAATTCAGTCTGTAAACACTAGATGGAGCTAAAAGACAGTTTTATGCATGCCTAGAGGCATCGCTAATTGCAAATACTCCTCTCCACCCTTAATGCCAATTCGCACGCTGTGTTCTAAGCAAAAGAAAACAAAAAAGCGTCTACCATCTTTCCATCGACTGTGCACCTGCTTGTATCTGTAACAGGACTGCGGTAGGGCATTAATGAAATAGTAAATTCCTTCTGGCTTTGCTTTCATGTAAAATAGCTCAGAATACAAGCAGCCATCTGTACTTTAAAGGAAAATACCATTTTCCACCATCCTGGAATTCTGATAAATGTGAAGATGTTAGGGAAGTTGATGTCATACCTATCCTAAACAATGTAAGAGTAGTGGGATGCTGTCTTCTGTAGCTCAGTCATCCAGATACTGTATGATTTTCACCTTCATGAATATCATGAATAGAAGTACAAACCTAAATTATTTTACATTGTGATCCACGATGAAGCATGTGAAAAATTCTTTTGAATTGCAGTTCAATTTTGTGTGGTCTTGGCAACATTAAGAATGGATAACTTGGTACCCTGCTGTGGACAGATTCCTATTTCAATTCTGTTTTCTTGTCACTCTTTAAATAATATTTAAAAAAAAAAAAAAAAAAGAGACCTACTTTTATATTCCATAAATATAATTTGAAAAAAAAACGTAACAAAAAAAATCAGTAACACAGTTTCTTGAAAATTAAACCTGAAAGAAAAAGAGGGGCAACCTTTCCAACCAGTAAGAAAGCAAAGGGTGGAAAAAACTGGGAAGAAGCAACTTTTCTTTTTGATAGATGAAATTCAAATTTTCAATCAATGCTACAAAGCTGCTCATCAATCAAAGAGCACTTTTACTCTCCCCACTTAAGAAAAAAATTACATATGCTAATGTTGCATCTCAGTCACATTATTCCAGATCTGACTAACTTCAGATGACAAGTGGTAAGAACTTGAAGAGCACCAAGCATACATTGTTTATGCAGTTGTAAAAATGTATATAATCTGGAGTAGCATGGTAAATTTAAAGTTGCAGGCAGAGCATAACACTCATTTCAAATAATACAATATTTCAGTTAACAACTTGGTGTTTTACAAGTCGATGGGACTATTCATGCGCAATACGCAACACCAATGAGAAAGGTGGGAATTGGTAATTTCTTTAAAAAAAAACCAAACATTTTTATGTTGAGGATCCCTTTAATGAGCCATAGACAACTGTGTTAATTTGAATCTGCTCATTACAAGACTCCAGTGTTTGCAGGAATGGTTGAGACATCATGGCAAGCACTTTAAGACTATGAAGAAAGGCAGAATGAACTTTGGGTGTCTGTTCTGCAACCTGTCAAAGGAAGGAAAGCACAGCAAAGCTTGCAGATGAGCTCTGTCATAAGGTAACAGCTTCCACATGATAGGGGATAAATGGTGGGGAATGGATAGCATCCAAGTCCCTTGCATGTTGAAGAGAGGAGTGAAAAAAGGCTGACCTTTTGCTAGTTTAAGAATATGCCAACTGCAGCTGGGAGGAAGCAGAGGATGGTAATGGAAAAGTTCAATGGAAAATGGGCATTAGGCAAAATAGGTTGGCACAAAATGCTTTGGAGCAACACTAGGATATTCCACTCCACATGTTTGCAAAGTGAAGCAGGTTCCTGCCCAGCATCAGCACTTCACAGAGGAGAGAATTAGAGGGAGCGAAGGGAATCTGGACAGATAATTGGGAGTAGATTAATATTTTTTAAAAAATGCTTATTTTCTTTGAGTATTAGTACTTGAAATACAGAAATTAAAAGCACGAAAATAATTAGGTGTGGAGCAAAAAGAATGTAAAAATAAAGAAGCGCATAAAGAAAAGTATAAGCTGAATAGTCATATGCAGTGTCAGGAAGCCAGATGTACTTCTCTGCATGGAATATATAAATTAAAATACAGTACATCTCTCCATCTTTCTACATCACCTTCCAAAAGAGAAGAGTACATATAGCTACCACTGTAGTTCACTCCACCAAAAACCTGGGGTACTGCTCTACCTGTGCAGCCTAGCCCTTGGCCAGGGTATTCATGTTCAACCACCAGAGCAGAGAGCAATCCTCTTGCAGGAACACAACTCCTGGAGGAAAGCAGGACTGACCGGTGTTAAGCCCCAGGCAATAACCCCTGTAGCCCCAACCCACCTCCCCTAAAGACGCCTAGTTCTTACCCATTTTTAAAACAACTCAAGAGAAATCAAATTGCCTTCACCTTCTGAGCAGATGCTGCTCTCTTCTCCTGCTTGGCTTTCATTTCTGCAAGAAGTCCACTGCCCATCACCTGCACGCCATACCTCCGGCCTCCTTGTGGGCTCCCTTTGTTGTCACCCCTCTCAGCTTTTGCTGCATCATCTGTCTGTGCCTCCTCCAGTGAGTCTGGTGTCTTTAACTCCTCAGATCGTTCTGTACCACCGTTCTGCTCTGCAGGCTTTACCTCCTTCTTGCTTGTGTCCACAGCTGGACTTTTTGCAGCAACCTTGGGTGAGGAGGGCTCCTCTGCCACCATTACAGTCTGGGGACGTTCAGATTTGGAGCCTCTTGATTTGATTAAGTTAAGGAAGCCACTCTTCCTTGAGTCCCTTTTCTTCTTCTCATCACCTGCTTCACTGGGTTCACTGTTGTCTGAACTTTTAGTTGATGGTCTCCTAATAAAAGACAGAGACATTTTAAACTCTTCTTCCCTCCTCCCTCTCTTTTAAACAGTACCAAATTACTTCTACTGGGCGAACCCAATCTTTTGTATGATCCGTACCTTGCCCTAGGCCCAGTCATTGGCTGGTGCCTCTAAGTTAAAAACTGGACAAATAACATTGATCGTACTGTCTTGAGGATTCTTGTCCTGGCCTTGTGCATGGTATATTTAAGAGAGGCAATTGTTTCATATGCACTGGTACCTCAGCTGTTTCCAGCACTAAACAGCTCTACCCAACCTGTCTATGCACATCTGTACTGGGTTCACATGACAAGGTTTTGGTAGTGTGTGTGGGGAGGGGATCTAGAGGAGTAACTTCTGTGAGAAGCTGCTAGAAGCTTTCCCTGTGTCTGATAGAGCCAATGCCAGCATATATGTTATGAGCAGAGTATTGAGGGGAAAGCTGGGTACATAACATGACTGCATAAGAATACCAGTGCAGCAAACAGGCATGTCCAGGGACGGGCACACAAGGACAGTGCAAGTTCATAGGGATATCTGAAAATGAGTGGCTGGCAGGCACCCAAGGGAAGCACAGGAGGATGCAGTAGTCTCTGAGCACCCTGAACCTAACCTGGCTAATCCATTTTTCAAAGCTGCCATCATTTAACCACCACACATAGTATATCACACATGGCTTCACATGTCACTATTGATATTTATAACTCACAACGACTTTAAAACATTTGCTTTTCCTGCCACAGCTAGCTACCCACTAACACCTACCATTCCTTAATGGATGTCACATACAGCACAGAAGGGGTCATTCCAAGTTGTCTGGAAATCAGCCTTGATTTCTCATTTATTTATGCAAGTCTTTGTGTGTGTGTGTCTCTGTACGTATATATGCACAAATATGCATTAATACAAGAACATCTACATGTGTGGTTCTGTAAATATACAACCAGCTGAAAAGCAACTGTATAAGCTGTATAAACTTTATACCACACTGAAGCGACATATCTTTCAGATTAATGTATTGCCTAAATCTGGGATACTAAATCTTGATCAACATGTCTTTAACATATTTCTAAATCAGCTTAAATCTACTAAATCATCTATCAAAACACTGCCCAACAGCAGTCCTTACTAGACAGAGACACCCATGTGTACTACTACACTGGAGAGGAGGTCCTCAACCAATACAAAGCGCTGCTTCAGCCCTAATGAGCTCCGCTGAAGGGTAAAATGAAGCCAACTGAATTATAGAAATACACCCTAGTCAGTAACTCCCATCACATAGTATATTAGAGCAATTTATTTCAAAGTAGTAGTTTTAAGGGAGGGTAATTGAATTCACAGTGTATTATTATTAAGGTATTAAGGTATTTTCTGCCCTTGATAACAGCAACCCTGGATATTGGGAACAGAAGTCAAACACAACTTAGAAGTGCTACTTACCCATCTATCAAGACGTTTTTTGCTTGTTTGGTTGTGTTCTTCTGTTGTAGGGGTTTTTTTGTTTGTTTGTTTTTGTTTTATGTTTTTTTTTTAATTTTTAAGAATTTAAATATAAACTTCAAAAAAATAAATTTGAACTTACTTTGAATCCATTTTTGTCACTTTCTTAGTGAAAAATTCATCCACGCCTTCATCTACTCTCCCCATGAGACCATTCTGATCCCCTTCTGGAGGCACTCCAGCAGATACCTGAAGGAAGAAAAAACTCTGTCTGGTATATAGTAATCTAAGCATATTTGTTTCAGTGATAATAACTGAGAGTTAAGACATTATAAAAGTTGTGTGAACCAACCCTCAGTGTCCACAATGCACTCACCACTGGAATTCCCTCTCCCTTTGGTAAGGCCAGGTGACGCATTATATGAAATGCAAAGTAACCCAGAACACCAGTTACAAATTGTATACTGCAATACATGAGACCAGGAATTGAATGCCTTGGGCTTATGAGAATAGATTCGTCGTTCAGTTAGGAAAGGAAAAAGGCAGTTAAGTCATCCTGACCATGTGGTGACCTGAGGAGCACGTATTTTCAGCAGCTAATCGTTTCCCCATTCAGAGAAAAAACATACATTCTGGATTTTGGATTTAGAGGTTAAGAAACAGAGCTCCAGCAGGCTAACAGAGCCTTTTATAGTCCGTTCAGTCCAGCACTACCAAAAGCAGAGACTCTAAATACAGAATCAGGTATTTCACTTTAGGAACTCAACCCAGATTTTTGCCGAGTGTCTGAAAATGGAGCACCCTCTCCCCCTCTTTTTTTGGTTTCAGTGCCCATGTTTTGAATGTGGGTAACGGAGGCATCTAAACCAGGCTGGCTTAGTAACGCCTGCCAATCACAAAGGCCCTGTGAAGATTAACTGGTGACTCTGTAGCCTCCTGAAGATGAAACATGCTGTCTCCCGCGAAAATTTCTCATGTGGTCTGGCTTCTCTATGCAGCTTTGATGTGGAAAAGCTCTAGTACCAGTAGAGAGAGTTCCTTCAATTTAAATGCTGCATAGAAACCTTTTAGGTGACTACATAGGACTCCACAAGACCCAACCCAGTTGTATTCTTGGTAGTAATAACAACCAGGTATCGGTTGGGTTTGTAATTTGAAACAATTTAAATCAAGGAATCTCCCACTTGCCACCATAATGCAGAGTAATCCCAGCTTCTCTTTTCAGCTGGAATATCACTCTTTTCTATACCCCTAATTAGAAAAAGAAATACTCTTAAAAGCCGCTGTTAACATCAAACCCAGACTCATTAAGACAGGACAATGGATTTGCTTTGACACATCCATGAAACTTCTTACTTTCCATTGCTGAACCTTGTTATAAACCAAGTATTTACTTTGTTATCAAACAACAGTTAACATTGTATTAATACCTGCTTTAGCAATGTAATACTGCATTGAAAAGAGCCCACCTGGAATGACTCCCTTGTTGCCAGTCAAACTGCATATTTTCTATAAAAACCCCAGTTTTATTCTAAGAAGCACAATGACTTCTCAGACTTCCAACTCTGCCACCTTTGGGGGTTTCTGTAGAGAACTTGTTTAGCTGGAACATCTGACACTAAGAAGCAATGTATATGCTAACATCGGGGTTGGTCACACCAGTGCTGCTTGTCTCAATGTAAATATTTACCTCCTCAGTCAAAAAACAGTTGACACTGACGTTTCAATCAAAACACATCAACCACAACTGGCTGACACACTTCAACAGAATGAGACACCATTTAATATTGACACCGGAGCCCTCCAGATTGTAGGAACAAACATGGAAGTATCAAAGGCAAGTGGATCTCCAATGATCTGCAGCACATGAGGTCTACCTCAAAACAGAAACCAGTTTGTATGTGAAAAGCAGCAAGTTCCTAAAAATGTACTAAAGACGTACATAAACGTAAAGGGCCTAATAAGGTCCTCAAAGCACAGGATTTTCTTATAGATGTTTAATGTAATGCCCTTTAGTGATCAACACTAATGTAAAAGGCTGAGCTCTGGTTTATTTAATATTTTACATTCCTATGCTAAAACAAACCAAACCACACAAAAAAGTTCAGTTTTCATTTGTCAATTCTATTTTTTTCTTAGCCTTAGTTTAAAAGTGAGCCTTCTCTGTTTCTTTCTTAAGGAAAAAACTGGCTTGGAAGCAGAAATAAATAAGATGAATCACAATCTCTTGCATACATTAGAGATTCTCCTCTTTGCTGTACTAAATCTTCACACATGATAGAGGAACTCATGAGGTTAAGATCCCACAAAAATCTAAACGATGAACTGCTTCATTGTATTGCTTCAAAGCTACTTGGGGGTGAGTGGTGCTAAGGTTCCCCTCCAACCCCCTTTTTTTTATTCTCTCTGAACACTCATTTCAGTAAAAACTCTGACAAAGCTATAAACCTTTATTCTGCCCACCCACCCCATGCTCAAAGCTTACATTTCTCCCTTTTTTCTCCATTTTTCTTTTTTTTCCCCCTTACATTTTTCAGCTTACAAATAACAAATTGTTCTCCAGCAAAACCAGAGAAGTATACAGCTCTGATCACCTGAGACCCCTTAAATTACTAAATGGATATAATGGGAAGAGCAAACAACCCAACAGATCTGCTTTAAGCATTAGAAAAGGTCAAGATTTTGCCTTGCTCATTTCAAGTGCTTTTCCTAACCATTGCTTTCTATTTTTCCAGTTTCAAAGTGACAAAACAAGGAGCAAACAAATTCTGCAAATAATGCCACAGTTCACTCATGATTCTGGCCTTCAAAATTTGTCTGTTTCATTTTTAGAAGCATCAAAGCAAACACCTTAAGTCTTTCAAAAATTTGCTTACTTGTGATGAGGTCAGAAATAACAAGGAATTAAATGGTCCATAAGAATGAGACAGGGACAAGTCAGTTCAAATAAAAAAAGGTTTCTTTCAATTTCTGCAACTAAACAAACCCCTGATTTCCTAATTATTTCAATGTGGATGAGCATTCCCACAAGACTGCACTATCATGGGAAGTAACACTTCCCTACAAGAAGTAAGCTTTTTGCTTCTGTTGAGAAAGATATTGTGTGTCCTAGTTTCATACCTGATAGCAAGGCACTTGCCTTCCCATGCCCCTTCTCCTTCCAACCCCCTGTGCAGATGGAGTTGCACTGAGTAGTCTGGAAGAGAGACAAGTTTAGCAACTGGGAAAACATGTGTGTTTGGCAGAACTGGAATTGGAAGAAGTAAACACAGATGTGTTTTCACTACAATGTGGAGTACAGTCCATCCTTCTGCCACCTCTATCCTTCCCCATATAGCACAAGGGAATGGAAAGTTGGCTTGAATATCCCCTCTGCTTGAAGGTTTCTGCATTTCTAAGAGGTGCAAAAAGCACTCTATCGCCCAGTATGATCTTTCCCAGCATTAGGGAAATTTTCAATGGTCCTCTCCATTGACAGCTCTCAGGGAGCAGAAGAGGCCACAGGCATTCATTAGTAGGTGGCATAACTCAGAGAAGCAATGGCTGCCCCTTGATAAGTGTTAGTTATCATATCGGATGTGCTCTGTTGCCATGAGATAGCTCTGTAACTCCTCCGGATCTGTCCTTACATACCCTGAGGACATACCATCACAGAAATGAATCTTTATTGATGTGGTATGCCAAGGAAATGGAACTGTGGGAACTCCTCACACATATACTTGGGTTCACACCAATGCCTTTCGTAGACAGACAGTGCTCTTCTGTTTTGCTTTTCTAAGGCAGGCTCCAGCATGAAAAGCAGATTTGTGACTATGTAGATTTGCTGGCCCAAACACCATCTTTAGTTAAGGAGCTGTGGGAAGCTGGGTGTCACAGAGTAGCTCCTCTGAGAGCTGACAGAAGTAAGAATTCATGCCAAGTTACCATGTCTTAATGCAGGCAGAAAAAAGGATTAAGACTTAATAAAACCTTGCAATATAATTCAAAAGTCTCATGATATTTTCTGTATTTCCTGTAAAGCTCCAACTACCTCCAGAAACCGCTTCCATGAAAAAACAAAAGCAAACTGAAAAAGGGTAAAACATATCCTGGTTTTAGGTTATGTCAAACAAGACAAAAAGCTTGTAATAGGAATTGCTCACTGAAAGACATGAATACCAGGAGAAAAATAAAGTAGTTGCTTATGGCTTTTAAAACTTCAACAGCTGCCCTCATTACACTGCAAGATCTGACTCGTGGTGAAAAGCAATCAACGGACGACATCATGAGCAATATTTTAATGTAGACTCACTGCTGCTTGGCTCGGCTGCTGCTTTTTGTTCCTTTTGGGCCTTAATTTTGTAAAGTGTTCCAGTTTTCTCCCTTCTTCTGAGGGTAGCTCTGAGATGAATCCAGACGTTCGTTTGTCCAGCCTGCTGGAAGGAAATGGTGGGTCTTCTATATGGATAGGTACTTCTTCCAGTGCTTTATCTAGATCAAACTCCATTTCTAAGAAAAATCAAAACTTTCTAATTAGATTTAGCATGCTATTTAAAACAAAAGACAATGCCATTCCTCTCTTTTGTGGTGAACAGTTATAAAAACATTTAGAAAACTCAACTTTGTGAGCAAATATTTACTACCAAACACACTAACAGGGTCACAAACCGAAGCAACCTGTGTGGGCCTCAAATGGAATCCAGAAGGAGGGAGAGTCACCTGTGCTTTTCGATCAAGAACTACCTAGAAGAATCTCAGGCAAGCAAAGAAGGAAAAAGGTTTTAAGAAATTCTCACTTACCAAAAGCTCTGGACACTGGGCGGAGCATTCTACTGTGGATGCTTTTCCTTTTTGATTTAGGAGTCATCTATCAACATAAAACAAAATAAAAATTACTTTAGCAGACAGAAGAAGTGACAAAACACCTTCTGTTTTTTATCCAGCAAATCAGTTCTTCAAGCCTACATATCATTTCAAGATATGGCTGGGTTTAACACCAGGAGGGAATGGGGTTTTTTTCCTCCCCTTTTCCTATATTCAGAATTTTTTTCTAAATTAACATTTTGTTCAAGTCACTATGAACAGAAGCAGGGAGATAGATAAGTTTATTCTTCACATTAAAACCATACACTGTACACAGAGGCACAAAAACAGAATTACTTTGTCCAGCACTGCACAGTTAATGGTAATAGCAGGGACAGTCTCCTCCTTATTCTGTCTTTTAATTTTTGATAAAAAATACGCTTCCTCAGTTCATTTGTTAGTGATGAATGCTTAAAATTCAGGTGTCTGTGCCCTTGGACACCACCACACAGCGCACTAAACTTCCCGAGCAAAATGCAGCCTTGGAGCACACAGCCCTTCTTCAAAAAGCAAAAACACTGTGTCAGTGTTAGCAGTATCTCCAGCTAACACATGACTTCCCTGGACTTTAGATATGCTGAGAATAGGTGGAAAGCTACCTAGGCACATATTCAATGTAGTTCCTGAAAGTTACGTGCTATTATTCTTTTAATGTTCACATTCCCAGAAGAAAAGAAGTATTTTGCCTTAAGAGCACAAATACCCAAGACTTAAGACCCGAGTTTGTTATTTTTGGGAAAAAAAGAAAAGCCCTTATTTTCTTGCCAGAACTCTTCTGAAGGTCTGCATGGCAAGAAAGACAGCAAGATAGTTTTATTATATGTGTCACCAGTTCCAAACCTCTTAACCTCAGCATTGTAAGAGATTCAACCAAAAAGTTGGAGGGTTTCTAAAGAGTTAATTCAAAATGACTCAGCTCTGTGAAGATGGGCTCCTTTTGTGGTACATGCTGGCTTTAGTGACATCCATATACTTCCATTTACTTGCTAGACTTGAAGCCTAGTGGCTTCAAATCTGGACTGTCCATCAGGAAGCTGTTATTAAAACTTGTTAATAGAATTGTTAATTACGTTTAGTAGTATCAATTTGATATGAGCCAGGAAAGATATAGTTGGCATTGACATTTCAGACAAATCATGAATTGTTAGTTTTCATGTATGGAAATTTCAGCGCACAAACTTACATGTACTGAATTCATATTCCCATCCAAAGCAGTCAGGAGGATTATTATACCACATGCTCAGGATTATGACAGATTTTCATAGCAGGAAAGTTACTACCCATCTTCTCAAGACCAGAACAGGACTTGCAGACTACAGAATGAACAGTGATAGCACTGTCTGCACAACAGAGCTCTGTTTTTATTGCCATGCACATCGGTGGGGTTTCCACTTCCACATTTGACAAGCATCAGCAAATGATACAACAGTTTCAAGACCAACCAGGAAATAGCTTGCCACCTGAGCAGACTTACCCTGAAACTAATGAGCAAGCAAAGTGTTACTGCATCAAAAGGTCAGATATTAGTTTCAGAGTTACCAATAAATTAAATGCAATGGATCTGGTGGCAAGTGGCTGGAGAGGTGCTGATCTTGTTCGGCCAAAATTGCAGTGGGTTGTGCAACAGTTAGGCAGCTGGACAGCATCTGCGCTGCACACCTCAACAGCTGGAAATCTACCACCCAAACCTGAAACAACCAAAGGCATCCGCACCTCATGTAAGGAAATGTTGAAGCAGTTCAGCATTTGGCAAAGAGCAATTAGGAGTCCTTATCAGTAGTCCTGGGTTTTATTTCCAGCCATAGCCCATTTCTCTTGCTAATGTTTACTTGCATGCATTTCGGTCTGCTGGCCACTTTTTTGGGTGATGCAACTGAAGGTTACATCTAGTAGGATAATGCAACAACTCATGCACTAGAGAAGGTCAGCAAGGAGGATAGAAAACAAGGTTGATATGAGACCTCCAACCACTCAGTAACCTCACAGCCAGTGTTCAGAGTGCTCCTGGATGGACACAGACAAACTGAGAGCTGCATCGGCCCAGGGCACCAATGCAAAACAACATGGGGCAAATTTTGAGGTTCCTGTGTAGGGATTTAAATGCTCCAAGCCATCCCTAACAGCCAGGAACACAATGATTTCATCTTCCTTCCCAGACAAGAAAATGCCCCCAAATGACCCTGCAGAGCTTGTGCTGATGCCCATAAATCAGTTGCTGGATCACTGCTATAACTTACTGTCAGCTTGGCATGATCCATCAGCAGCTTGGTTGCTGGGGATAAAGGCAAAGGGATAGAGATGCCTCCCATTTGCTACAACAGCATGAATATCAGCTACACATACACTTTTGTTTGAAACCCTTCTGTTTTCTAGCCTGTTTAGAAAGTGCACAGATGAAAGGCTTCTTGCCAAGTGAACTTTCTAGATCACACACAGAGCAAAATGGGTCAAAGCATTAATTTAAATAAGCCAGTGTGCTCTTTTTACAAAATATTAGACTTAATCTGGGCTTAATATTTCTGTACAGTATGCTACAGCAGCAGACCACATGTCATTACTAGGGAAGATATCTGAACTCCTAGGAAGAGATCCCTACCTCTCCCCAGCCTTGGACCCATTTCCCACAGTTCATGGAAGCAGTTCAGGTTTGGCAGATGTTCACCTTCTGCCTTCCAACCACCTCTGGCCACACAAGCACAATGCAGCTCTACTGCCTTACATTTCACTCATGGCCTTTACAGGGGAATAACTGTTATTAACAACCTCCCCTCCTTCACTTCTTCCACATCTTTTGTGGGCTTTCCATTCTAGCAGACCACCTCCTGAACTACTACTTTGTTTTGCCCGCATTTCTGTGAGCATAGTGTAGGCTGCTGGGCAGAACGGATAAAAACATTAACTGCATCTTTGAGTCTTGGGAGGCCTTCTTCAAAGTGTGTGCCACTGAGATCTCCGGAGGAGGCTCCACAAAGGAACCCTTCTGCAGTACTAGATGGGAGCCAGAAGATCTCCATCATGCTCCCAAATAAGGGCTTATTTAGAGTTAGACACTCTCACGTGTCCAAGCTAACTTTAAACTCCTAGGATCTCTTGCCATGATCACTATCTCAGGATCCTCTCTGCTGGCTTCCTTACTCACAAAACTGAGCTCTCTTGAGGTGGTTTCTTAAATCTTATTATCAACTGTGGAAGAAGACTAGTATCTTGGGAATTAAAAACAACAAATAGCACTTCGAGTGCTAGAAAACAATGTGCTTATAGCAGCGGGTTTTCCGATACTCTACATTCCCTTATACTGATGATTGAAATTACTCTCAGTGCTAAGGGATATGGTAATTTCCACATTTTTCTCCTCCTTATCCAAAGTAATTTATATTCAATTCTATTAGATACAGGGATGCTCTGGGACCCTCCTGTCACTTCCCTTTCACAAGATTTTAAGCAAACTAACTCACAGCGTCGCCCTCCCTCTTGAAATTCAGCTTTCTGACCAGTCTCCCTTCAACCTTCCTTCCTGCAGAAACACTAAGGGCTAAGGGAGACAGCACAAAAAGGTGAGAACAGCAGTCAAAAGCTCAAGGTGATTCAGTTAGACAAAGAAAACGCAATTGACCAAACTGAGATAATCCCTGACATCTCTTCCAACCTAATGGCAAAAAAGCCATAGTTTATGCCCATTTTTAAGCCACTCTTTCATTAAGCTGGATAATGCTTGAATATAAAACCTAATCAATAGATTTTCTTTCTGAGTAGTAATGTTTGTGCCTATACCTCCAAGATCAGCACTCGGCTTTGGTTTGGTGTTAAAGCCAAGGGACGCTTTAAATTCAGATGGCACGCTAGGCTGAACCTTTTTGTTAAATCCAGTCTCATCCCTGAACTGCTGCCTGTTTCATTTGTAGGTGCAGATGGATGGCACTACAGTCTCCCAGGAGATTCACAAGGCAGTACAGAGGCAAATGGAGCACAAAAACGTAAACCAATAGGCCAGAAACAGCAGAGCTAAAAAAGTACTTACACTTGTACAGCAGAGAGTCTCCATGCAGCAAAAAAGAAAGGGAAAAGAATATGAACGGGGAAGACAAAGCAATAGCAGTTCTCAGGAAAGGAGGCAAAACCAGAGTCACCAAAATAAAGAAAACTAAAGCCAAAACACTTAGAAGTCTTAGCAGGAAAGGTGACATGCAAGAATGAGGCAAAAATCCCTTGCACTTGGAGGTGCTATACACTTCATTTTTCCATGTTTTATCTATACTGGGACAAATTCAGATTTTCAGATGCTTGTTTCCAATATATGGCACTCACCAATGGTGCCAACCTGCCACCTGCTGTCCCAGTGTACTGAGGTTTTTTTATTTTCCTGGCATCAGTAGTGAGAAAAACCTGTAATTCTGTTATTTCCTAGTCTGAAGGAAGCTTCTGAATTAGAAATCGCCAGTTTGCTGTGGAAAGCAGGACAGCAAGGAAAACAAAACAAAGCTTCTCTCGAAAGAATATAAAGGGATGCAAGTGTGTTCTCCTGAGGTTTACATAAACCTAATCCAAAGCAACAGTATTTCTCCTTCTCATAACGAGGCTTAGAGGTGCAGGCCTTCAGGCACTTTTGCCACATGAGAAGAATGTTAGTCCATTAATAAAGCATGACCTTTCCTCTCCCCTTTGGAAAATTAAAAGAAAAAAAGGAAGCAGCACAGCCATCATATGAAATGAAGCAATGCCATATCCCATCTTGTGTGGCACGTAATCAGTCATGCTCCTCCTTCACTTAGAGTAATAAAAATCAATTACTAGAACTGCGGTTTTGTTTTCCGAGTTGAATGGGAACGTATTAGCAGTGTGTTTGTGGCAGAAGTCAACAGTCATGGTGTGTATTAAACTTCCAGGCAAAGAAATGCTGCTTTTTTAAATGGATACTGCATCAGCACTTAATTATCGGCAGAGAAAACAGACTGTGCATAACAGGAAGTTCAGAATTTAATTGTTGAGGGGATATTAAGGTCAGTT